TCTTCAGAACTTTCAAGCTTCTTGGATATGTGCAGAGATCCCAAATTGCTGGGTTGGAACTTTGGCATTCCAGAACCTCAGTGGGAGAATTTTGGCAACACAGTGGAGGAAGCCTTTAACAATCCTTTGTTTGCCAAATTGCACTATCGTTTCAAGCAGGAGGAAGAGATTGGCCGTGTCATGCACCTTTTGTCTGAACTTGTTTGTGACTTTTTCATCAAGGTGCTTCCCAAGTGGGTTCTCAACCATTCGATCTTGTGGGAAGAGTTTATGAATTTGGATCCAGACACAAATCTCCCAGCTTACAAGACTTCAGAGGCCGCCTTACAAGCAGAAGTGAATCCAGAGAAGTATCATACACATTTTGCTATGAACTTCAAGAAATTCCGTTTTTCTGCAAGAGTTGTGTGGTATTTGATTGACCGTGACAGGAATCATTTAGAGAGTTTTCTTCACAACTCCAACAGTAGATTTGTGCAACATGCATGTTATCAACTTCGTGAATATGTTCAAGCGCGTGTTGCAGTTTCTGATCCCTTGTATGAGATGATCAAGAAGGAAGAGTTTGAACGCCAATACAATTCCAAGTTTCTGGAGGCGATTTCTTGCTCTCGTGTTGTAGTTGAGCCTGTAAGTTCAGGAACGTATGAGCCATCATCGAAGCTGAACTTAAAGGTACTACAAGACATCCTGAAGGGTATCTTCAAGATCCAGAAGGATGAGGAGCATGCCAAGTAACGTGAAGAAGAAGAAGAAGAACAGGCAGCTCAAAACATCTCATACCTGTTGGCAGATGATATGGAGCTTGATTTTGATGATGATAATGTGCCAGTATGGCGCTCCATTGTCGACAAGTATAGAGAGAGTGATCAGGTGCTACAAGGAGAAGCAGTGGAGATTACTCATCTTTTCAAGGACAAAAAGGACAATGAGAAGGCAACAGAAGTTTTCAGTTCAGAGAGGACAGATTTTCATGAGACCTCAGGACCTCTTCCAAGAACCATGGGAGAAAATCTTGTAGAGGACTTGCTCAACAAAGATGCTGCAGAACAAGCCTTTGAGGCAGGTGAAGAAGTTCCTCCTCACACAAGAGTCTCCACTATCACTGGTAGAATCTATACTGGAAGTATTACACTTCTGGAAGATGAGGATATGGAAGAGGAAGTTCCTGAAGAAGATCCTGCAGTTGAACCTGAAAAGGAAGAAGAATTATTTGATGAGAATGCAGGTGTTTTTCCTTCAGAGGAACCAAAGATGGAAGTGGACCAGGAGGAAGCCAAGGAGAAGTCAACACCACACTTTCTATCAAGAGAGATAGGTGAGGACTCGACTGCATCGAACTTACCATCAGGTGAGATGGATGCTAACCTTGATGATACTCCACGTCTGCCGAAATCTAAGAAGAGCCGCCTGAATAAAATTCCTGATCCTCATTTTCATGAAGAAGTTCAGGATGATGCAACCATGGAAGAGAAGAAGAAGGCGGTGAAGAAGATAAGAGAGGTCAGAGAGGATGATGGAGAGAAGAAATTGGAGGCTGAAATCCAAGAATCTTTTCCATCTGAAGTAGTTGTTGAAAAGGATACAACAAAAGTTGACAATACCTATGAGTTGCATACTTCACCTTTGAGGTTGCTTGGAGAACTTACAGGAGTTCCAGGTATTGGCTTGTATCAACTATGCTTCAGGGAAACTCACGCAAGATTGCTGAACCATGTTTGTTTCAGAAAAGGTGAGATTTCCCATCCTCATTATCAGTCGAGGATCAACGAAGATGATTTTGTTCGATCCATTCGAATTGTCTGTCCAGTACCTCCACCTGATTGTTATGAACATGAACCAGAGCATGATTTGAAGAGATTCTTTATCAATGATGATCGCATCATTCATTTGGATGGCAAGTATCAGGTCGATCCAAAGGCCCTTGAAAGGGCAGAACATGCTCGAGAAGAATTGGAGGATACAAAGAAGGAACTAAAGAAGGAACTGGAATCATATGGTCCCAAGGGACCCAGTTGGGACTTTGTCACCTTCTATGAAGAGCTGTGCAGGAGGTTCCTCAAAGGAAGAATAGAAGAACCATATGGAACTAACCTATCGGCCAGCTCAGAGTCCTTGACATTTTTATCCTGGAACTATGGTAACATGGTTCGTGGTCAGAAGTACACCACACCAAGGTTTCTCCAAGGACTTGATAGTGCAATGAGGCCACGCAAACAGAGCGCCATGTCACTTCAATACGAGCAATTTGAGAACAACCTTTTCTTCAACATGCTCTTCTTTCTACGTGCACATGTCGTGATTCTCCAGGAAGCTCATCTTCTTGTTCCTGCCAAGGAATTTATTGAGCAAAAGAATTGGACAGTTTGTTTCAATGATTGGGAGAATCTTGCAGTGATGGCTAGATTAGCACCAGGTGGATATGTCAAGACCATTGCTGGACATGATCAAGAACTTGGTCACTGTGAACAGCGTGATGTAACTTGGGCTATCTACGAGATTTGTTTTGGAGAAACAAGGCCTCGTCAAGATTTCAAGGATGCAGACTTTGAATTTGATGACTATGGTCCTGAGGACAAGCGTGTTCCACTTACTCGAGCGAACATGCATACCATCAGAGTCTGTAATTATCATGTAGATACACACCGTGCTGTGGACGCCCACTACTGACAGGAGAACAGACAGCATTGATGCTTTACGAGTGTTTTGTCTATGAGGTGGACATCATTTCTGGTGATGCAAATAGTTTAGCCTACAGAATGGCTGGGTACAAAAGGCAGCCAATGGCTAATTACTATTACAGCACCATGCAGCATTGGATCCGCAGGTTTTCAGAAGCTCGTGTAAAAGCAGATCCTGGTATCAAAGCACCTATTCCCAGAACATTTTACAGTTCAACTTCACAGATCCTCAAGAAGTGTGAAGTTTATTTTGATAAACTCTGGGAAGAATATTCTACTGTTGAAAAGGAAGAATACCAAGGATCACAGCTTGGCGATACATGTTTGTCTACCATTGTTGAATGGGGTCATTCGATGAGTGAAGAGGCATATGAAAATTCCACAGTGAGCACGAAGGAGTTCATCTGTAATTTTTCAGAGAACTTTGCTATGATTGACACGGAGGTTATGTGCTCAAGGCCCACTGACGAGGACAGTCATGGTCCAATGTTTATTTCACTCAGACCAGCTTCCGCTTCATCTGGAGACAGAAGACAGTATCGCATGGGAGCAACTCTTCATGAGGCGAAACTGCGGAGGAAGGAGAGACAGAAAGAGAATAAAAGGAAAGGAAGGCCGCAAACTTCTGAACAAGCAGCCTCATCGACTGCAGCGGCATAACTTCTGAGCGGGGACTGACTTTTAAATGATGGCTAGGAAGTGAAGATACTTCTGATCACAGTTGATACTTTGCTTCCATGCTTGACTTTAAGTTGCCAGGCTGAAGTTTTAATGAACTCTGGTTTGCAACCAGGAGAAACTTTTTGTAAAAGAAGATACTCCTGCATTCCAGGTTTATACGCTTTAGCAGGTAGATATGGACAGTTTTTCAGAACTGATGATAAATACCACAGCCGCTCTTTATGAGGTGACCTCTAATGGACAACCAGTCATGGTTGATGATTAAGTCATTTCATGATTTGCAATTGTAGTGCAAGATTTTTTTGTACATACATTTGCCGATGTCTCCTTCCATGTGTTTTTGATGTCAATGTGAGAGAGTCCTTTTGATGCAGTTGAATTTTTGTCTGTGTAAGAAAGCGGTCGAGACCACCTTACGAGAAGACTATTCCTCGGACCGTACGCTCCTTGCATTTTGCAAGGCATCTTAATTCATTGCATTGTGCGGTCTTGAATTTTTTGTTTCCTTGTTGCGCGAGTGTCGTTTGATTTGTTTATAGGTCTCTGTAGAGAAGAAGCCGCTTTCCCTTTTTGTTGATTTAGCTCAGGCCATAAGGAGCTAGTGAGCGCCGGTACATGGTATCTCCGCCTGCGAAAAATGCAGTCTCCAGCCGAGGTACATTATCGTTTTGATTTTGTACTTGAGGTGAGTCAGCTATTGCTCCCTCACTGTATTTAGTAGCTTTGAGATTACCTTCTCTATAGTGTGAAACACACTGGATTAGGTAAGTACATGGCACCGTAGTTTTCTTTTAAGTTGCTAGAGCTAGCTGGACTGTTTTAGCCTTGCAGTAGAAAAAGAGTGTGCGACATACGCAATCAGCTAGGAGTGGACATGAATCTTGTGCCTGCTGAAGAGTAGAGCCTACCTGTACAGGGTTCCACTCCAACAGCCGATATAGTGTGTCCATACTTGACTGCTTCAAGGCTCAAAGAGCAAGAGGATAAGACTCTGCGCATAAAAGACACTAGCGGTCTGCACCTCTACCGTGTACGCCCTAGTCACTCTTTCACCCCCCTCCCCCCCCAGGGGGGAGTTGGACGCCTCTGGGACACCTCTCGGGCATCTCTTATGGCATCCACTTTGGCTTAACTCCTCCGGGATACGGTGCAACAGATTCAACAAGCTCACAGGTTCGTGAACACATCGGATGCATCGAACAGTGTGGCAAAGTCCAGCCACGCTTCCTTAATTATCGGGGACTTCAATTCTAAGGTTGGCTGTGTCATTGCTGTTTGTGTGTCTTACATGTTCACAACGTTTTACCTCATGAGCATTTGCCTCACTCCGCTTGTTGTCCCACCAGTCCGGATGCACCCCTGCTAGCTTTCGTCACCTACCCTCGGCCTCAAGTTTGACACCGCTTCGCGGTCGAAGCTGCCCGCACGGAGAGTGTGTGTCTGTTTCGGTCTCGGTCGGTCTGTCTGGGTCGGTCTTCACAGGGGCAAGCACACAGGATGTCAATCCCCCCCGCAAAGCTAAAACTTCAGGTAACCGGTATGCTATCTAGCAACTCTAGCGTGAGTATGCGAGCCGACAAAATGCTTCAGCACCTTCGGCGCGGGCGGATTTGGAGTGGTCGGGAAAACCACTTGCAGGTGAGCTTGGATGCTGTGGGCAAGGCTCGTGATGAGGATGATGAATCAGAAGAGAATCTCCTTGAGTCGGCAGAAGAGACTGAGGATGTGGACGAAGAGTCCGAAGATACAGCAGATGCGCAGGATGGGTCTTGGGAGCGTTTTGCAGCAAGTGTGTGAACGCCAGAGGTCTAAATAGTTAGATCTAAATCAACTGGAACTACGTACGACCGTAAGAGTCACCTTCTACTTTTGTGGCTTACACCATCCTTGCAAGTAGAAGTGAATTTCCTGGCTGTTTCTTTGCTGGTAACACAATGCAAAGGGAATTGATTCCGTTTCTGGACATCCCTAGAGATCATCAAATCCCGTGCCATGGCACGTCCGTGGCAGAAAAACAAATAATGGATTCCAATCTGGCCGAGGAGGATGAAGATGAAGAGGGCGTCAAGGACTTTGAGACTGGAGAGCAAGAATCTGAGGATGGAAACATGCATGTGGACATCCAGGATCACTCCATGTCGCTCTTGGAAGAAGGCCGGAAGTTGCCAACCAAACCGCCCACGCGAGCATGGTCGCTCCACCACGAAGAGCGCCTATATACATCTTCAAGTAATCAGAAGCCAAGGGGAATTCCATCCCGAACTCCATCCCTTCCATTTGATTACTGCCATGACTTGGTTGAAATGTCAAGTACACTCCCACTCGCTAACATGGCCCTTGGCAGGTGGTTTTCCACTTACATGTTAGTGAGTCATAGGGAAAGTCCCTTCAGACCAAAAACACATTAAGTGAGCCATGTCTCTGTCTGAGGCGAGTCATCGGCCTCCGACTCTCAAGGTTGGCGCCGGCGCCGGCGTCGTCGCCGCAGAAGACGCACCCGCCGCAGACGCTCCCGCCGCAGACGCTCTCGTCGTAGACGCTCTCGACGTAGACGCACCTTGCCCACCTCCGTGTCATCAACATGTCCTTCAGGACGTCTGGGGCGGAGAGTGCGCGTGCTTCAGGTTCAGCCTTGACTGCCCGGCTTAATCCCAGGATCTTCACTAGCTTGATAACCACAAAGTGTAGGGTGCTACTTGGAGCAATCTACTTTCACACCGAGCCGTTTCACTCCGCTCCCCCTCAAACCGGTTCGAGTTTCGGATGTGAATCGAGGAGAAGAAGTGCTGTCCTGCAATTGCTATCCGGACTCCTTCACCGAGAAGGCACACGTTTGGACCGTGACCCATCATTGCAAGGAGGTTTGGAAGAGCGGCAGATCCTGCCATGCGAAAGGCGGGCGGCTTCTTGGCGCCCGGTTTCGGCGGTCTCGGTGTCGATGGTGAAAGCAACGTGGCGACCCATGAGCAAAAGGGACAAAGAGGGAGAGAGTTGGAGTGGGAAGGACGCTGGCAGCGACCTCCCCAGTTTTTCCATCTATAAGTTGTCTAAAGATGGTGACTGGACCTTTTCTGCTTGTGGCAGTGTCTGATGGAGACTGGATGTACCGATGTACCTCCATCAGCTCTCCGCAAACCGATGTTCCGATAGACCCCGCTTCACTGGCGTTTTCTTTGATGTAGCCCATCCAACCAATGCCCACATTGACATGGGGTGGCTGCAGGCTGCAGGGGTTGGGGGGCTGGCAGAATTGGCGGCTTCATATGGAAAAGCACAACGCCAATGATGATCATCGTCTAACTCCACGGGTTTCGGAGATGGGTCTCAGACCTCCAACAAGATTGCTTGATCATCTGCCCCCATGCAGGTGGCTACGCGCAGGCGGTGTGTGCGAAGCTTCCAGCACCCGCCACACGGAATTGGCAGGAAAAGGCGGCCTCGGGAAGGTATTGGACCAACAAGGAGCGGTGTTGGACGGCGATAATTGGGCGCTGCATTGAGTAACAAGAAGCTACGAACGTAGCAAAGGGCATCGCTACTAGTAACAAGGGCATTGCTACTAATAGCATTTTTGCTACTAGTAACAAGAAGCTAGTAACTGAAGGAGGTGTTGATTGAATTGATTGGCTACAAATCGTGATGAGGTGTTGACAAGTGCATGATGGTTTTCTTCCACCATTTGTTTCTCGTTCGGTGAAGAATGATTGCAGGTTGAACAACACAAGAATTTGGATTTTTGTTGGTCTTAGCCTTTGTCGAGTTTTCAAGGGGCGTTCCAAGCTCCCCGAGTGCAGTTTCTCTTCAAGCTCTTAGATGGCTTGGAGATTTTGCGAAGTTGAACCAGTTCATTCTGAAGAGCCGATCATTTTCCTTGATGATGTTCTCTGTGTATCAGTTTTCAATCAGTTCTCTTTCGTTCTCAACAAGTTTAAAGCAAATGACTCCCCGATGGAATTTCCACCAGAGAATGACAGCCCCTGAGGCCACAATAGAAAGGCATTCTGTAGTGAAATATTTCATATTTCTGATATTTTTTGGGTAGTCATTGTATAGTTAGTAATTTGACTTTTTGGGCAGCCCATCCATGTTGGCCAGCTGAGCTATTTTGTAGTCATCTTGCGAGTGATGGCCAAGAATGACATGGCCGTGTGCCAATGCTTTCTGTAGCATTCTTTCTGTCTTCCATAATAGTGACTTTCACAGACAACTAGTCATTTTGTAGTATAGGTAGTATGTTTGGAGTATGTTCGGATGGAATCAGGTTTGTTCACAGATTGATATAGTCTTAAGCTGCAATAACTTAGAAGATTCCCTAATGCCCCTGAGGGCGTTAGAGATTGCCGAAAAGCAGTAAAACAGTTCGAGATAGATGTTGGCCCAGTCATTTTCTAGTGAGACATGAGGCTTGCGCATACTGGGCCACTCACAGTTTCTACTATCTCACCTCGCTGGAAATGTGCACCCCCTCATTTTCTAGACCCCAAACCTCAGTCCCTACTACAAAATGCAATGTCCAACGTCACCCGGTGAATTCACACGAGGATGCATATGAACCCATGCGTCGTTCGTCCGTGTTCCTGGAGTGCGGAGGATGAGGGACCTACGGCCACATGCCCCAGCGATCGCACCCTGTTGGGCTGCTGGTGTAAGAGTACCAGCCACCGAGGAGACAATTGTGCACGAGTCTGGGCAGATGGAAATTCCTGCCGAGCACGGGCCAATGGCGTTCGAGCACACACCAGCCATGTGGATATCCACGTCACAGCAAACTGTGCAACGATGAAAACATCTTTGATGATCTTAAGTGAGCTGAAGATCGAGCTGCAACAACCAGCCAGTTTGGCAGAGACGCCAGTGGTTGAAGCTCGCGCCATTGGCCACCTGGCTCCCTTGTCCTTCGAGTACATGCATTTGCACCAGCAATGTGATTCTCTCTTGCTCATGGGTGGCATTGGCGTGGAGCATTGCTCACGGCCCAACTACCGAAAACCCAACTATCACCCGTGGCAGCAGAAGAAGGTGCTGCCCATGAGCTTTGTGCATGGCTCGGAGTTGAAGGCCCGATCTCCATTGTTAGCGGACCGTTTCCATTTGTTCGCGTACCGCAGAGGCAACGAGTGTGTCCCCTTTCGTGTCAAGTATCCCCTGCAACCCTCGTAGCAACGTTTTGGAGGCCATCGCTATTAGGTTGGAGGCCGAGTTTCGATGGATGAAGACCGACCCGTCGGGAAGTCCTCCAACCTGTCGTTCAAAGACACGTTGTTCGCCTGGATTGTTCGCGCGGTGCAGGTGGGTTGCTGGAAGGAGCGCTTCGAATCCTTCCGCTCCAAGACGAAGGTGACCCGAGAGACCTTGCACTGCGTGAACGGAGATTGGTTCAACTCGGTGCAGAGCCCGGAGCAACTTGGTGTTATTTCTTCATGTCGTTCGTGTCGTGCACACGAACAGTACACTTCCACACACGTGTTCTTGTTCTTGTTGTGCCTTTGACCAGGCGTTGTTGTTTCGCGTCTCAAGTGGTCTCAAGAGTGGCTTGTTGCTAGTTGATCTGATCGTCCCAAGAACAAGTCCTTGGTATCGAGCGCTCGAACGTTGCGAGTTTTGTAGGATGGGTGCCTTCAGTTGCGAGCCGTGCGTGCTTGTGGGCGGTGGTGGATACAGCAAGTATGCCAAGCGAAATGAGCAGGAGAGTCTTTCGGGACAGGTGAGACATGGGACAACAGGAGGCAACATCTGAGTTGGTCTTTTTTGACCTTTCAGCGAATCCATTCATGGGCGGAATCTATTCATGACTCGAGACAGGGCCTCGAACCTACTAGCGACATGGTCTGGACTGTGTCTTCAGCGACGTTCTGGAGGGACGGGTATTTGTGTCCTTGTATATATTGACTAAATTTATACCAACAATGTTTTGAAGTAAGTTCTCTTGCAGCAGCAGCCAATTTATATAAAGGAACTTTTGTTGTGACCAACGCTGATCTGTCGCACCAGGAGCTTTACTTCTTCAGTCGCATGGCCGTCCGTGTCTACACGGAGCTGGGCTCGGTGGTGGAGACGTCCGCGGCGGCGCACAAGTTCTGCCTGAAGAAGCACAAGACCTTGGCGCATTCAATGATGTTGGAAAACGAGCAGGAGAAACAGATCTGACCGGATCGGGATCCGTCTGGCCGGAAGTGTGCCACAGGAAGTCGGGTCACCGGGGTCACCGTGAAAAACCCGTTCGGTCGAATTCAGGTAAAGATGGTTCGATTGGGCCAAGGGCTGTGTACTGAAATAGGGAGACCTGGCCCAATGGGTTTGGCATGGTTTTGGTCGTTCCTTATATCGTTACTTCTTGGTCGATCTGAGAGGGTCTCCCAGGACCTAGGACACACCGATATCGCAAGAGCCTGGTTTTACTTTGGATCAACACATTGTTACTACTAGTAAGGCACCTGTTACTACTAGCGTGGCACTTGTTTCTAATAGCTTCTTGTTACTACAGAAATCGTCGCCAGGAATGCCCTGAGATTTTGGCAATCCAACTTTCTACATCGTCGGAGGTTCAGGAGCGCATGATGCTTCTCCTTGACCAAGGCACGGCATCGAAGTTCTCAAGACCAAAAAGAGAGGCAACCAGGAACTGGACCTCAGAATACAGTCACAGAATTGGATAAACACCCAGCATGTCAAACATATGCCTGGCACTGTAGTAATTACTGGATGAATATTTTCAAGATACTGTATATGAATTCATTGGCTGGCGAGAGTTTGCTCTTCGTCGAACAAATCCTCACTCATTTTGAGATCAACGCCACTGGCTTTGTTTCGATTTCGTGTGGGGTCATGGGGGTCATGGATGGTCACCATAGCCTAGGGCTTCCTTCGGGGGGAACTCTGTAGCCCCTAGAAGTCCATGTCTGGCAAGCAATCCCACGCTTTGATGTGCTAGGTTGGAGGCCATCACTAGTAGGTTCCTTTTGCTACAGTAAGTCGGAGGCCACTAGTTACACCGCCATCGCCTTTTGGACGCTTCTCAGGTGCTCCGGACAACAACCAATGCCTGGAGGCCGTGGTCGCTTCGGATGGCGTCTCACCTTTCGTGGCTCATAAGACGTGCAATCCGGACAATGTGCGGCAGGAGATTTCTCCCATGGCCATCCCGGAAATCATGTGGGAGATGCACTCCGATGCAGATCGCAACAGCGGAGAGGATCTGCACAGCGCCTTTAGCTCCTATTGTGGTGCCCATGGAGCACTGAGCAGTTTGTCCTTCGGGCAGATCTTTGGTGGAGATATCGGTGGAACCAAATCCAACTGTCACTTCGCTCCGGTGATCAAGTTCGGAAAGTTTGTAGACAGTACCATCACCTATGACAAGACCAGCACAAACTGGCCAGACTGGAACACTTTGTTGGCAGATTCACCCATCCTTTGTGCGGATGGTGAAGCTTTGACTGGATTCAAGCATCAGCCTGCCAGCAACAAGTTCAGGTATGAGTGCAGCCGCATAGGCGAGAACATGGGAAGTCGCATAAGCGGTTGACCGGGTCACCCCCAGAGGGTCGAACGCCCGGCTTTTAAACCACTTGTAGTAACAAGTGCCTTGCTAGTAAAGTAGTAACAGGTGCCTTACTAGTAGTAACAAGAAGCTATTAGAAATAACTTAAAGTAATTTAATAGCTTCTCGTTACTACTAGTAAGGCACTTGTTACTAGTAGCGATGCACTTGTTACTAGTAGCGAACCTTGTTCCTACTAGTAAGGCACTTGTTACTAGTAGCGATGCACTTGTTACTAGTAGCGAACCTTGTTCCTACTAGCAAGGCACTTGTTACTAGTAGCGATGCACTTGTTACTACTAGCTTCTTGTTACTACATGCCACAAGGGTCTGGCTTGTTCTGTTTAACTTCTGACCTGACTGTGAAACAACATTGTCGACGTAGACGTTTAGTCATGTCATAGATCTCTCCATCTTGGCAGTGAAACACACAACGCCACGAATCTTTGGGTCTAAATGTTCTCCGCTTTCGTCCAAACCGCGGACCAGATCGGCCCCCCAGGTGGTCTGGGAGCCAAGTATGAGTACTTCAGTGCACAGGTAGAGGTGAAAGCCTTTGATGCCAACCGGGCCAACTTCATCGAATCCTTGTGGCTCGGATGTGTGGCCTTCCCTCGCCAAAATGGCGACGAGACGAAACGGCATGACAACATGAGACTGAGAAATCGCCGGTGGACGAGCACGAACTAGTAGTAACAAGTGCATCGCTACTAGTAACAAGTGCCCTACTAGTAGTAACAAGGTTTGCTATTAGGTTGGTTGCCCCACACTCCTCCTTCGGACGCATTCCCCGCTGGTCGCGACAGGTAGACCAGACCTGACGCGTGTTATTGTAGCATATCCATATTCCAAAGGAAGTAACGTTGCTTTCCAACCGAACCATACAGAACCCCAGATGTGCATGGTGGAACTTGGAGGTCCAATTCCCTTTCGAAAACCAGGAAGATGATCACCGTGGATTGCGGAATGAACGGCCTCCTGAGTGGCTTCCACTTCGAATTCTCGGAGGGCGGTCGATGGGCGCGCTCCAAGTACACTTGCTCCAAGGTGCCGCGCGGGCGCGACGCGGGGGTGCGCTCGGTGAATCTGATTTTCTGTGGATTCTGTTAAAGGTCATCCCGAAGTACAGGAGTTGCGCAAACACTTAAAGAAGCTCTGGTTTCTTTTGGGGAAACAACAGCAGGAGCCTGTAGGACGATGGTGCTGATACTTTTCCATATTCTATTTACTCCAAGAAGCAAGAAGCTGAGAGCTGATGGTTGTAAGTCATCGGGATTTGTGAACATTCACAGGACACCCTCTTTGCTTGGGAGGCCACCAAATGCCCATGACATACTGGTTTAAGAAACCCTAATCCAACAGCCTCATGGAAACGTTTTCCAATCCCCTCAGGAATTGGAACATCATGTGAAGTGCTGCCCGTGATTTTGGGAAACATTGAATCAGACTGCCCGTTGTTCTTGAGCTATACCGGCTATACCCATTATTTTTTCTATGTATCAATCTTTTTCTGACGCCCAGAGGTCACCTTCCCCCCAGAGCAAACCCACACTTGGTCTCCGATGTTCCGCTCCTTCTTCGCCGTTCGAGGCCGGTGGTGCCCCAGTGGTGATGGAGCCTTCGACCATGATCGAGGCGTTGATCCAAGATACCGAGGGAGTCTTCTGCCCGAAGGCGGACTGGAGGAACGAAGCGGAAAACGCGAGACGCATGCTGTCTTCGAAAACGAGATATCTAACTCGCCTTTTCGAAGTGAACGGCATGTTGGAAGAAAGAGGGTTCTTCCAAGTTGCCATGCCATCCACTTCTATGTTTGTTGCATAGAGGTTAGATGATAGGAGGTACAGGTACACCAAAGAGGATCAGACAATGCGGATGGGTCCTACCCAGAAACGCTCTCCCTGACTTCAGTCCTTGTAGCCCTGACTTCAGACCTTGGACGTGGACACGGGCCGTTACGAGTATGAGAACATCATCACGGGCGACAAGCTGAACTTCCAATCGAACGGCGCCTGGTGCGTGGCCTCTGATTGCTCTGCGGCTGTGGGAGGGGCCACTCCGGTGGGTGTGGTGATGACCACGCATGAGGCGGAGAGCTACGGGGGGTTTGGGGGGAGACAAAGGAGGGAGGAAGCTGATTTGGGGAAGACAAAGCAGTAAGCACTTTCGAATTATGCAAGCAACTTCTCCTGCGTTTCTTTGAGAATTTAGCCTAGAACCCCCCCAAAAGCATGATTTTTAGCGGTTGTTTGGAGTTCTATGTTTGTGGGATAGGACAAATGATGGTTTTTGTAGTGTTTTGGTGGTTCTTTAGAGATAGGTTCAAAGAGACCTACTGTAGAGTCACCTAAGGTTTCAGGATTTCATTCGTCGACCGGTCGTCTGAATCTCCGCCGTGGCGTGGAGGTGCTCAATGTCACGGACTTCGACGGACACTTCGAAGCGAAGGGCGTCCCGAAGTTGGAAGGTGCGGTGGCGAAAACGACGCCGTGAACGACGCCCGCGACATCGATTGGATGGGAGAGGTGATCATGGGTTGCTCTTCGAAGGTTTAGATGGAATCCCACACCCTTTGACATCAGCTACCCCCAGAATGCCCCACATGCTTCGTCCCAAAATAAGGAGCTACGAGGTTCACAAGCTTCTGGGCAAAACCACTGAGAAAATGTCGTGGATTGGATCATCCATTCTTCTCTTCGGCATTTGGTGGACTCGGGGGTTCGCCGGAACCGGATGGCTGGTGTTCGGAAACTGCCCTGACGAGTTTCTCATCCATTTGCGATGACAATGTCATATCAAGAAAGAACATGAGAACATCCAGGTGGAAGAAGCTACTAGGGGCTCCTGGCATCGCTACTAGTAGCAAGGACGCTACTAGGGGCTCCTGGCCGTATTACTAGGAACAATGTTCGCTACTAGGAACTTCTAGTGAATTCTACCGATGAAAACCCACCAGTTCTTCCTGTGGTTGATGCTCCGCACTCACTTCTGTTCACGGGCTGTGACTGTTTCGGCGGAGACGGAACTCCCTAGTCTTCACCCCGACGGAACTCGTCGCGAAGACACGCAGGTGACAGTGCCAAAGACTTAGCCAAGCGGCTCAAAGCCCTGAAGCCGCCCAAGCGCCCAGCACAGCCGCCGAAGCCCAGCTTACAAGTTTACAAGGCAGAGATGCCTCAATATGCAGAAGAATGTCTCAACTACCAGGAGAAAAGTTGGGAGAAGAGTTGCAGCTTTACAGGGTGTGTGGTAGTAGCAGGAGAAGCAGGAGTAGGGGTATGGAATTGATGGACGAGGTTCAGTTCAGTAGTTCTTTCTCACAAATCTATTTTTATTGAGTAGGCTTCCGGTAACTAGATTCCGGTAACCAGAAGCTTCCTTGGGAATCGTATCACTGGGAATTGTTTCACCAACAATAAAGCTTTCTACCTTTTTTAACGTTTCGGTCTATGCGAAGTCAGCAGTTGGCGGTTGTTGGGGAGATTGATGGTGAACTGCAACAGGTCATGGTGTACCGTGGTCGAGTCGAGTCATAACACTTGTGTCTTGTGGGTTGAAGGGACTCTCTTTCTTTCATGTGGCACATGTGGCCAGAAATTCAGTCATGCGAGGCTACACAGTTGGGGGGGATCGTCCTGTAGCCTCCCACAGCAGGACCTCTGGAAGAAGATTGTTGAGACCCATGTGAACGAAGAGAAGGAAGAGGTGACTGAAGAGGCCAAGCTGGAAGCGGATCCCGGCACTGAGGGGCAGGAGTTACTCGACTACCATCCTTGCCAGGCAGCACCTTTTCCGCGCGCACGCGCGGCAACGACCGAGGGCAGGTACTGGTAGGAGATTGTGATCTCTCTTGGGTTTTGCTTAGTAGCCTTCCGAAGGATCTCCATTTTGAATATCACCGATGCAGAAATTCACCCACTCTTCGCGCAGCATCTTCCAGGTGGCGAACGATGCCGGCGGCATCTTTGGCCGCATAGCCGGACAGAGCGGCCAACTGGCCCGGGGTGAGCCCAAAACTTTGATCCACAGAGGTATTCGTGAAGAATGAATAGCATTAACTAAATAGCTTTTAAATAGCATATCAGTTTGGGGCTTTCGAAGTTTCGAACGGTCTCGTCTCGACTGTCGGTTCCCCTGAGAGGCACCTGAAAACATGCTCTACAGCGACTGGAACGATTGCATGCAGGGCGACATCAATCGAGACTTAGTGGCCGCCAAGACTGCCTACGGGGAAGCCGCTTATGACTTGGTTGCCAGCGCCATCCAGGAGAGAGGGACAGGTAGCATAACTGGGGAAGCCGAGATGCCGACTCTTGAGGGAAATCGGTGAATGAAATCGTGAGAATGAATCGTAGTGGTTACACATGGTTACATCTATCACAAGTGGGAACAATAACCGGGATACAAACAAGGTAGATCTCGCAGAGAATCGGCCAAGATAGATTCCTTTTGATCCGCAAAAGACATTTTCGCCTTCTTCCTGTAGATCTCAATGGCCTCCAACCTGCTAGCGATGGCCTCCAACCTAAGAGCGATGGCCTCCAACTGATATAATAGCAATGGCCTCCAACCTTTTAGCGATGGCCTCCGGCCTGTAGCAATGGCCTCCAACCTAATAGCGATGGCCTCCAACCTAATAGGGATGCCTTCTTTCTGTAGATCTCAACAAAATGATGTGCGGACCTCACGGAAGGCATTACCTAGCGCGACAGGAAGGCATCAAGCTGGTCTGTGCTATGCCACCGGACGCGGAGATCGCGCCTTTGGGAGCCGGTGTGGAAGTGGAGCCGGACAGCATTTGTGACCAGGTCACGGACTTTGTGCGGGCCATGATTGACCTGCCCGTTGGTTTCTCATTTGCCAGCTTCGATCTCAAGCTGGAAGAGGAAGGCTTCAATGCCTGCAACCCACTCCAAGTGGGTTTCGCACGGGTCTTTTGTGACTCGACCAAGTCTGATTCAGTCTGGAAGGCATAAAACACATCAAAACACCAACAAACACATTTGATCCATGCTGGTTTCAACTCTCAGTTGCCCTTTTGAGACCCCATGCTTGATAGTTGTGCTGCCAAGTGATGCAGACAAACTGTGCTGCCACACGAATATGTCTTCTTCGCAGAAGAAAACACGACCATGCAACGGCATATGTATATAATGCATATTATATATCTCCTGACGACAATCAAAAATGTGAGGTGATATTCATTGCGTCCGGGATGCCGTGATCCGTGGAGACCGAAGCATCTTGAAGAACCTGGAGAAGGCGAACCGCCTTTGGGCGTTCCTTAGACTCAGACCCAAAGGAACGAGTTTCTCAGCCTTCCATGTGGAACACCCTCGGCTGGTGGATGCGAGTCTTCAGTGCATTTCGGGCTGTGAGGTGTGGCCCGCTCGCATTCAACGAGTTGTGTCGGGCTCGATGTCTCGAGGCCACAAAGATTTCCAACGACAACATGAAAAAGATGGTGGATTGGTCCACCGAGGCCAGACAAAATGGGCGAAATCAGCCAAAGCACATGTCTTTTGGTACAACCAAAGCACAACGCCTTCCAAATGTCTGCAAAAAGAGATCCGAAGTCTTTTGCGCCATCGTCAGATCGCTCACACTCGTCGACGGTTTCGATCGTTCCAGGCGAACAGGGCCGAAACGGAATACTTGGACAAGAAGATTGACCATTCCTTGATCCTTGGAACGGTCGCCGTCGCAAGCGATCTCGCGTGCCGGCACCTCCCGTCGCATGTGGGGCAGCCCGGAGCCAATCAACTTACATGACCATAAGGGTAAGCCTTGATGTAATTAGAATCTGGACCTTCCTTGTGTGGCATTTAAACCTGGTTGGAGGTTTGCGGGTGACATTGTGCAACTGAGGAAAGTGAACACCATCTACCTGGAGCACATCTCAAAGAACACTGAGCCGATTCTCATCAAGAACACCGCAGCAGCCACCAAGGCAGGAACCAGAGAAAACAGCGCGGTGCTGCAATCGCCTTTGCCGCATGGGGGATGATCATTGACATGTCAAGAAGGAGTGTCTTGCCCGTACATGGTGTTCGGACCACGGCATCTAGAACTGCATGCTTCTTTGGAACATGTTTTATTAAGCCTCCCACTTCGACCGCAAGAGGACTGAAGTCACATGTTCTCACTCTTTGTGCAAGACAGTGGAACTTGCAGAGCTTGACTTTTACCACGAAGATACTCCACTAATTCCTTGGTGATGGATGACTCCACCAACCAGGCCCATCACCCATCGCTGCTTTTGTTGAACCTGAGCCTCCTGTGGTGGGGCCGCCAGGCAATGCTGGACGAGCTCCAAGGGTATGCTGAGGCCTCATCCTTCAGCATCTGGGCCTTAAGGTCGGCTCAGCGGCCTACTATGGCTTACTGATCCCTAAATGGAATCCATGTCGTGCAGGCCATGTCATCCATTCACCTTTCCTTGCCCGGTGGCTGGGAACGTGTCCTTTGTTTTGATTGACTGTGCTTGTGGCTTGGGGCAAAGCTGATTTCTAGACAGGCATATGAGGGATGATCTGACTACAAGGTGACAAAAGGGGATGAGCCGAGCCTAGTAACGCCCACTGTAGTACCAAGAACGCTTTGCGTCGCTCCCAAGGCACTGTGAGTCGCCGTGGCACGCAAGATGCGTTGCAGAGCTTCCTCGTGAGTGCGCAGCAACTTGAGGCAGCTTGAGCCGTCAAACACCTTTCAGCAGCCCACCCAGACTGGAAACACATTTAATGAAAGGAGGGCCAGGAGGTTTGCGTCTGTATTCTGAGTATATTCTGGTTCCTTGTGCCAGATTTATCGCAATGCAGGACACCAACAAGACGTCCCGCTTGAGCCAAGTGCAAGGCTTTCAACGCCAGGCACGGGTTGGTGTTATCTTTTCAGCACGCAGATGAGCTTGGCGCATGAGCAGACTTGAGATGTAGCCCGTCTCTTCTCCAAAAGCTTCTCAACAGCTTAAGGCTTAGTTCCAGGTCCACACTCGTTAGCACCCTCGTTAGGCTAAGATACAATGACTATATATGTATATATACTCTACCTCAGCTCCCCGCTTGCTTTTTCAGTGCCCAACTAGGTGGAGCTGCTCCATGAGTCGTTGAAGATGAACAGCGGCACCTTGAACCGAGCGCAGGTGGTCGGGCGACAGATCCGCAGCGAAGTGCAGAAGCTGCAGAAGCGCTTCGCCGAGCAGGAACGTGCCTTGAGCATCTCGGCGAGTTCGAAGGACACGGAGTTTTGAAGTTTAACTTCGAAGTTGGTTTTAACTTCTACCAGTTTTGGCGCTGAAGGTGGGCGAGTTTTGGGAAGCCGAGGCATCTACCGCACTCACAGCAGCTCTGCACAGAAGACGGCCAAGCAGTGGAAACAGGAGGTTCGAGAGGCTAGCAGGTCCCTGGTGAGCTTGGATCACCTGTGGTGGCGACTTCGAAACCACCTGGACGGCTACCTGGACTCGGCCGATGTGGAGATCCGCCGAGTGCAAGCCTCCTTCTTGGCCTTGGAGAACTATGAGAATTGCAAGTCAGGTGGGACCCCCTTCGGCCGAAGCGAAGGTCAAGTAGCAAGTGCACCGCTTCTAGTAACAAGGGCATCGCTACTAGTCGCTTCTTGTGAGTAGTAGTAATGCAATTAGCTACTAGTAGCTTCTTGCTACTAGTAGCGATGCACTTGTTCCTAGCAGTGAGACAGTGACCATCAGAGCGTGTTGGGTTGCGTCCCAACGAATAAGGCCTTTCAGCCAACCATTGCAAGCGTTCCCTTTTTTGGGTCTGCATGGACCTGGAAGCTTCCATGAGGCTTCGAGGAGTTGCTCAAGAGCTATGCCTCCAGCATGTCCAAGATGAAGAAGAGCCATCAGAAGCTAAAGAGCACTTGGCGTGAGGCCAGATAGCCAGGTAATTTCTGTGCATCGTGACGCACCAACCCACGCTTGTGAACCTCTAGGTTTTGCAACCCACAGGCACTTGCACTGTGACATGTTAGCGTCCTCTAGTTAAGCGGTAGGATGCCAATCTACAGCCAATCAAGACAGCATTACTTGCATCATAACATGCTGACCCACGCAGTGAAGCTGTAGGTAGGCAACCTACAGCCTATCAAGACAGCATGACTTGCACCCTAACTGGCTAGCACACGAAGCTTATGCAATCTTATACTATCTCTCTCATTGTGCGGTCCAGGTGAGACGCGACGATGGCATATGTGTCACTCTGGGCACGATATGCAAGGTAGAGAAACCCTCTGTAGAGAGAAAAAGCAAAAAGGACAGCGAGCGAACAAAACCTAAGAAAAAGTGATCTTCCACGACTCAGTTGTGCGACCAGCTCCACGAGCTTATACAATCTTATACACATATCCTGACTGCCAACATACTTGCCCTGTGACATGCCAACACATACTGGCTGTAGGTTGCAGTTCATTGTGAATGCACTGTTTGCATCATGACGGACCAACACTGAAACTGGAGGGCAACAAAGCACTACTTGCACAAACACATGCAACCACACATTACTTGCATTGGAACCTGCTAATACAAGCTGCTGAAGCCGTAGGGCCTCCTGAAAGACAATTCATGTCCATTGAACTGGGGATGTTGGACTAAAACCATCAGAACCACTCTCAGTTGCTGGATTTTGCCAACCTGCGCGCAGAGTGGGTACCTGTCGGTAAGGTGGGGTTAGAAGGTAGTTTACAGATCAGTCCAACGACCACAGCAGATCTTGCCCTGTCGTCCCCTCCTCAAAGAGTCATGGCATATGGCCACTATGGCCACTATGGCCACTATGGCTGTTTCGTGAATCCGTTGCTCCAAAGCCAAGCCTCCCACCTTCGATCACCTCCCACCTCCCACGGCAGGTGAGCAATTTGATGGGCGAGATGGCCTCGATCATCCGCGACGGGGACCTCTTTGGTCACGTGATGCGCGCCGAAGGCTGCGAGTCGCCTTTGGCGAAGCAGACCTTGGACCAGGCAGAGCGGTGCAGAGTGTGCTTGGGGGGGGCTCCAATGCAAGCTAATTAGTCGCCAAGGGCTCATTCCATGCGAATGGTGAGTTGGAAGAGAGTTCAGAGGGCTTGAGGTCAGTGACGAGGCCCATACAACATTGCACTTTTTCCTAGAATTTGTCATTGTTCCTAGAGTGAGTTGATTTAGTCCACCGGTACATCTCGTGTCCGATCGCACTCTCACAGGGCGGCTCAGACCGAAAGAAAGGCTCAGACCACAAAGCGTCATGATTTCAGGTTTTTTTTCTGAGCCTATGGACGACTAAAGCTGGAAGCCCCTGGTCTTTGAAGGAAAAAAGTGGGTCTCCGCAGATGCCAGGCACGCTTCGCGGTGCAGGGCATGGTCTTCCTGCTGCACCGCTTCCAGGCGGCCGGGTGCGGAGGTAAAGAACGGATTTGTTTCAGGGACGTGGAGGAATCCCAAACTGCCTAAGGCTTGGTGTGTTGAGTTGGAACGGCCCTCCTTATGACAACTCATGTTTGGGATTCCTTTGCACTTTTGGGCTTGCAGTTTTTTTCCGTCAATCTCCAACTTTGGGGGCAAAGAACATAGCCAGTGGATGGGAAGTGATGCCATCGCAGTCGTGTTTAGAATTATGACAGCTGTAACATGCTATGACAGCAGCGTCAATGTGGCTGTGGGTCAAAAACCGGGAGACCTTGTTTGACCACAGAAAATGAACAGAATAGACTCCCTGCGAGGCCAACCTACCAGGGTTTAGGGTTATGTCCTTTGTCCTACTGGGGCGTCAGTTGCATCGTCCTGCAGGCGTCCAGTTTGCCTTTCCCTGACACGACGACCTTGAAGCAGTCTGCGACACAGATTCAGGAGTCTTACAAGACAGTGGCCTGGCAGATGTATTATCGGCCCACCCCCCCCCCTCACTTTTTTCCACACCATTCGACTGGACTCAAAGAGGGGACGATCCGCGCGCTGGTGCATCCTGTGTCTTTCGATTCCAGCGCGCGGGGGGGGGGCTTCCTCGTCTTTCCGTGTCTTTGCGTCTGTGGGAGCTGAATCTCAATCGCGAAGCTCTCGACATGGAGACAGGCAGAGTGCATCGCTTCTAGTAACAGGTGCCACGCTAGTAGTAACAAGTGCCTTACTAGTAGTAACAAGGTTCGCTATTAGGAACAAGTGCATCGCTTCTAGTAACGAGTCTCCATGAGTCGGGAAGACAGGACATCCCTTCAAGACAGGATGATCAGACCCGCCCAGACCCGCCCCCTCACCGACTCCTCACCCCCTTCACTTGAAAGCGCGGGTGGCAATGGACGTAAAGAGTCATAAAGACACAAGTGTGTGTGCGTGCGCTATGAATTAGGGCAATATGTGACTTGCCATATATTCGCAACGTGCTGCGAAACAGATTCAAGAGTGTAGATTCAATTGGCTGCGTTTGGAACAAAAAGGGTATCAAGTGGCCGCCCTAGTCCAAGATAGTGCCTCACCTTGTCCTTAATTTCACATTGGGTTTTGAATGCTACATCACGGTGAGGTGCCGTGCCAATATGTGAGTGTGTCAAAATAGGGTTTTGAAAGACGCTTGTCACCAACAAGAGTCTTGTTTTCATTGGGCCTCGGTCGCTTTCGGTGAGTCTTCTCCCCCCCGTAGTGGCGCCCCAACCCTACGCTGCAAGCAGGCGAAAACGGTTCAACTCCGTTCGCCTCCGGTGCCACGCGCGACCGGTGCCGAAAACAAACGCCGCCCCCGTCGCTCGCCCAGGAACTGATGAAGTGCAGGGCCAGGACGCCCACGCCGCCCACGCCGACGCCAGACGCCAATGTCCTCAGTCTCATCGAGTCGTGGATCCGTTGAGCGTCGATCTGCCGGAACTCCGAACGCGAAGCGTGAAGCGTGCTGCGAAGCACGCTGAGCCTGAACGTTCGGAGCCTTCTGTCGGCTTCGTAGCTTGCGTTACGTGAGCTCGGGCTGAGTGCACCTGATTGGTGCAGGACTGTAAGGCAAGAAAAGGAGCAGTTCATTTCAAGATCCACCCAGCGAGAGGAAGTAGGATACAACTCAATCCAAGAGAAACTCGTGCTGGTCAGCGCTTTCTTGTCTCAGGTGTTCATTTTTTTACCCCTGTTTTTTTGGGTCCACTCCTGAAATGGGAATCTTTGTGGAAGACTTCTGCCCTGGAGCTTCAAGGCTTGCAGATTCCTTCCCCCCACATTTCCAAGCTGGTCATAGCAATGCTGAATCATCTGAAATTTCTCCTTCGCTCTCTGTCCCACAGCTTTGGAGATGTAGACTCCTTATGTGGTGAGGGATGTGCATCGTTTGACAACTCATGCAAACACTCGTGGCAACATTCGTATCCTCTTCAACACACATCCAGAAATTCGCTGGATTTGTCCCGCTGCTTTGTGGCTTGCAGAAGGGTCGAACCTCGCCGTCATGACCGGGCCAAGCCCCATAGGCGACCTGACGTTGGCACGTTTTCGGACGGAAAAGACCGAACCGTTTCGATGTCCGGTGGTTGTGCCCCCCCCCACTCCATGCCATTGCGGGGTCAAAGCAGTGCAAATCTGGAGGATTTCCGCTGGAAGAGGAATCCACTGAAGCTCCGAACTGGTTCCGTGTGTTCCAGGGCCCAAGAAGATGGAGGTGCAGATGGACTCCAAGGAGAAGAACGATGAACTCGGGTTTTGGGAACTGGGGATCGAAGTGGGAGATCCTTTGCTCGACAAAACAAATAGACACCTTTTGTACCCGAATATGTAGATAGTTTCACCATGTCATGTCCACCACACTTTTTGTCTTAAGCTCGACTTTTGGAAGGCTGTTCCTTTTTGCAAGGGCGTTCTTTTCGTGCAGTTCTATACATGTTTGTTTTCGCTGGTGAGGCGACTTGGAATTGCGGAGCTGTTGCCTTCTGAAATTAGCAGACCCAACATTAAACCATTCTGGTTGGGGAAGGGATTGTCCTGAACTTGGGCCTGCCCAAATGTACACAACACCAGCTTTTACAGGAGAAGAGGGGTCAAAGCAAACCACTCAAAGCCTGTTTTGACTCAAAGCCGTGGCCACATCGGCGTGCCATTCGCGTCGTGACGTGATGGCGATGGCCGTCGCCAGGATACACAGTGGTGTGCCGCCTTTACCCGCGCACGCTTAGAGGTGGAACGAACGGACATGTTGAGGTCCTGATAGTGGGGAGATGGTTTTTTCCTGATTCGGTGGTTTGTGTAGTTGTTAAGATTTAGACTTGCTCTTGGACACTTGAATCTTTCCAAGCACGGTTGTTAAGGCTTTCTGTGCTCCTTCAGAGTCGCTAGAGCATCCCAACAATAGTTTGGGCCATGAACAACTGCCGGAGTTTCAACAGAACAAAAGCACCCTCTTCTTGTTTGTGGGAATATATATATATATATAGTTGTCCAATGTTGTCCATCCCATCCAAATTCAACCACCCGCCGAACCTGCCGGACATGGCGTGACGACACACGAGGCATGTGAGTTGCTCCTACCCAATTGGCGGCCGCTCGCGGAGCTCTCCTCGCACCGGGCGATCTTGCAGGGCTTCCACACGCAACCCTGCGTGGCTGGGGCGCCCGGAGTGGTCCAAAAACATGGAGGACTTCAACTCCCAAAGTGCCGAACCCAGGGTTGCAATCATCGGAAATTCATGGACTTCACCGATAGCGACCACCAAAACCTAAGATGCGGCCAATCAAAGGGTTTGCGTATCTCAGAAATGCAGCCCAGAGGGTGGATCCCAACAAAGTCTCAGTTCACAGTGGAGCACTTGATGTTTTAAAACGTAAATCCTAGCCTTCCAAGACCATTAAAGGAAAGCTTGACCTAGTTTTGTGATGCAAAATCCGTAAAAACAATGGCTGTTCGGGATTCAACCCAAAATCAATGGTTGGAATTGAAACGTAAATGGAACCATTGCGACTCCTGCACAAATGCTCTAGTCGAAGTGCGCACGCCGATGAAGAGTCAGAAGAACACACCTTTTGGCTTCTTTTGGCCGCTACTTTGGTGAGCGAGAAAGACCTCCTGGCAGACATGCTTCGAAACCTTCAGAATCTGGACACTTATCCAAGACTCCTCCAATGTTCAGCCCCCTCCAATCTTTAAGCCACTCCAGTGTACATAATAAAGCGGTAGGTGCTGGATGCAGCTCTTACTACCAAAAGCAATGGCCACTTTAGGGTTCTCTGCTGTTGATCGATGGATTCAGAGGTGCGAATGATTCGGGTCAGAGCTCTCCCAAATCGCCAAGGAGTTTCAGAAAGGCTACTGTGCGTTGCACCGCGTCCGGGGCAAGACCTCCTTATGCTTTTGCCTGGAAGCCCGGTTTTCCACTGTTGCACGGGGTGAAGAGTGGGGAAAGACGAAAGACTGGGTTGAAGAGGGGGTTTGAGGGATCAGAGATGCTTCCCTCCACAGGGACAAAAGCAACAGAAGCAACAGAAGATCAGATAAGATCAAGGATTAGTGCCCCCGCTTTCTTGTCTTGCAATCTGACGTGAATTGGGCAGATGATGGTCTGGATGAACGACAATCTTACTACACTGACAATGAATGGCCATTGCTGATTGCGTTGATTCAGGTATGGGTTGCCTAAGGCACATACTCGTACCTATAGCTTATACCGACAAAGCCCAACGTGAAGGAAATAAACACAAGTGGGCCCTTTGCAAATTTTCTTCCACCAACATCCTATTCTTCCCCGTTCTTTTGGGAGACGAACCACGTCCAGCCGAGAAATACAGCACATGACTCCAGCGGCGACCCGCAGTGCGACACCCGAGGCTTCCACTTCGACTCCCAGCGTCGGCGCCCGCCGGTGACGCCCGGGGGCCGCCTCAGGCGCGAGGGGACGACGCGAGGGACGCCGAAGGTCCAGGATTTGGCCATGATTTTTTTGTTTTCTTGGTTTTCACGTGAGTGACAAATCATTGATTCATTGCAGACAATTTGACTGAATTAGGGAATGAGGATGTTGGGATGTCCCTAGCGGCCTACGTACAGGTCTTCATGTAGTAACGCAAGCCACAGAAGGGCGGCTCACTAGGCCAAGGTGTCTTATATCGACATACGTGCGCATGAGTCACATTGCGTGAAGAAGTCCTCCTCGCTTTCGCTTCGTGCGGTTGACGATGCTATCCAAATGATGCCACTCTGGTGAACGAACTTGAGCCTTGACCAACATGTTCATAGAACTTCAAAGAACTCACGCCAGTTCTGAACTTTTGCTTCTCCTAGTCTATGTAGAAACTGTTCTTGACGTGGACAGTTCCATGTGCCGTTCATTGTCCTCGTCTTGAGGCGTTGTTGTGACTGGGCAGGTATTGGGACATGGCGTGTCAAAGCATGACTTCAGCGTCAGTATGTCCGGATGGAGATGATTGCGTCGCAGACCCAGTTCTGCACTGGTCTTAGGTGGTCTTTGGAGCTGAGAAAGTTGAGATGAGCGGACGACAAAGGTTGGAAACAATGCCTGAGTACGATGATGATGGGAGAAAACTGGGGAGGGTTGGGGTTGTAGGTTGGCAACCTACAGTTTTTTGGGTCCACATCACTTGCCCCCAACACAGTAGTTCCGCAGGCTTGGGATTCGCTGCAGGTTGGCATTCTTCTGGGTTAGCTCAAGCAACGAGTGGACTTGCTTACGGTTTTCAGATAGGAATTAATTGGCAAACAACTTTACAGTTCATTCATTCATTTATGTTGCCAATTGATAACCCATAGAAAAGAAGCTTACCATTCCGAAAGAAGTTTGGTGCCCTGAGAGATTTGGGGGGTTTTATTGCACATCTTGCTGGACACGAAACGAAGAACCACCAGAGTGGCGTGGCGTTTGTCTGGAGGATGATGTCCGTCAATTGACTCTGAAAGCAAACATTCCAATTAGGCAAGACCCAAAGAACTGGCGGATCACGACGTGAATTGGTCTTGCCAACGGCAAAACCCAGTTGTACCGGGCCCGAAACCGTGGAGGTCTTCGCACATAGCCGTGACGAGATCTCCTACCATCCGGCTAAGTACAAGACCCGAAGGTGCTGCGAGTCGTGTTTTCGTCGAAATCGGGGTGGGCATTTGGGGGTCTGGTCTTGTCTGGTGCCCCTTTTTTTTCACGCATAACCCTCGCGTTTGATGCGGCAAGCCGCAGTTGGATCCTAGTCTTCGAAAGGATTTGTTGACACGGGGCTACCCTTGTTGGGAGCGTACCTTTGGCGCTGTGTCACACGGACACAGCGCAAAACTGGACGATGGCAACCGGTTGCATCATCGATATTCATCGGTGGAGGAAACTCATCGGTTGGAGTTTTCCAGATACTCGGCCATCTTTTTCTGTCGACTCTCACGGTGTCATCCTTTTTTGTCAAGCTCGGTGACTGAAGTCCCTCGGTGCATGGCTGCAGCGCCTGCAGCGTCCAGTCCAGCTTCAGAGATATTTGTTCCCCGCTCGATGCAGGGCTTTTTGATGCTTTTTGCCGGGTTTCAAGTCGCCAGACCTGCCAGACCAAGCAACATTTGCAGCATTTGGCAAGGGAAGCAATTGCAGAACTCTTTGTTGGCAACTTATTGTATCGTTCAACCTCATTTGTGTGGGAATTTGCGTGGTGCCTCACTTGATTTGAACTGCTACCTGGCACGGCCGCATGCCCTGGCCATGCAACATTTGTGTGCTGTTGTGAGGGTAAAGAGGCTGATCATCTGGGGCATATAGCCATGTACATTTCCACTGACGGGGTATGCGACACATGTACTACACTTCTCACGTTTTCTGCAAATTGTCACCAGGATTGCTAAGACTGTTGCAAGTTGCAAGAGCCGCATTTACCTTGAAACGGATGCATGTCGATGTATGTTGTTGCTTGTTTGAGCTACCGACTCGGAGTGCCACAGCTCGCCACTTTCATCCCGGCTAGCAGGTGCAACGGCAAAGGCTGCCGTGGTCAGGACGGGACAAGTGGAAGAGTGGTGCTGATGAAGCGTATACGGCAAAGCATAGAGAGACGGGAATGGATCAGATTAGGGGGATCCATATCTGAATCCCCTTAATCCAGCATGCTTCGGTACCAATTCAAAGGACCCTATATAGATGAACCTTCTGCTTCGAGGAGGTTCGCCTCCGCTTTGAGGAGAACCTCCGATAGTGCAAGATTGAATGACAGCCTCCTCAAAGTATCCCCCCAGGAGCGCCCCTAGGGTCTTTGCTCCTAGTAGCGATGCCCTTTGCTCCTAGTACGTAGCGTTTATGCTCCTAGTAGTACGGCCTGGAGCCCCTAGTAGCATCCATGCTCCTAGTAGCAAGGCCAGGAGCCCCTAATAGCGTCTATGCTCCTAGTAGCCATGGTGTTTTTTCGTTTCCTCAGTCCAGCAGACTCAGCTGGCGATCGCTCACCAGGAGATCTGCTGCTTTGCTCATGAAGAGGACGGAAGATGCACCAACAGCCGGGGATGTCTTTGCCGGTATGATATGGACAACCAGTGGTACATTGAAATGCAATCGTGTTAAGAAAAGACTGGTGAGGCACACATCAGCAAGGATTACATGGGAGCTAAATGTGGAATTCGTCCCACAGTTTCTAGTAAAGCAATGTTCTAAATTTAGCAACATATCATGCAACATTAGGAAGCTACTAGGAACAAGTGCATCGCTAGTAGTAACAAGTGCCTTACTAGTAGGAACAAGAAGCTATTAGAAACAAGTGCCTTACTAGTAGTAACAATGAGAATTTAATTAGAATTTGCGCCACTGAAGACGACGGTGCACCGCCCTGTGAGGATGAGCTGCGGGCGTGGGCACCAGAGACGTATTCGTACTGGCTACTGGTCTATGGAGGCGGGGAGACCATTTCAGGAGCAAGAACGCTACTAGGAGCAAAGGGCATCGCTACTAGGAGCAAGGACGCTACTAGGGGCTCCTGGCCGTACTACTAGTAACAATAAAGCTACTAGGAACAAGGGCACCGCTACTAGTAGCAAAGCTACGCTCCACCTCACAGTTGAAGCTGGATACTTCCTCCACGAAGTAAAGAGTGTTGAACATCAAAACTCTTCCTCTATGACACTATGACTTCGTGCGAGCCAAGCCGTGGAGCTTGCAGAGAATGGCAGGTTGTCCCATGGGCCATAGTGGACAGATGCTCATTTCTTCACCATGCCAATGAGAACCTGTGGAGAGGTACCCCAACTTGGAGGTTGGTCCTTCCCATCTCCCCACCAGCCAGGTACTGGCGAGGCGGCACCAAATTTCTGGGCCTTCGCATGGGACCAGCGCATCGAAACCGGTTTCACCGGTCCGCGGAACATCTCTCGATCGGATGGAAGGAGCTAGTAGCGTCCTTGCTCCTAGTAGTATGGCCAGGAGCCCCTAGTAGCTTCTTGTTACTAGTAGTAAGGCACTTGTTACTAGAAGCGAGGCACTTGTTCCTAGTAGCGTCCTTGCTCCTAGTAGTATGGCCAGGAGCCCCTAGTTTCCCTCGATGCTTTCCCACCTGAATTGCTTAATCTCCAAGCCCTTGTTTCGACGATAGTCATGCTGAGTAGCAACTGAGAGAGTGAAGTCTTCCTGAACGTTGATGGGACTCAAAGCTGACAGTTGGGAATCAAGAAATGTCATTGAGCAGTCTTGACTTTCCCTTCATGAGTCGCTGGTTGACAATTTTTCCATGGAATTCTCGAGGTGTTATTTTAATTGTTCCCCTTCTGGAAGATGGGCTATCAAGCATTCTCATCTGGAGAAAGAACATCAAGAAGAAGCAATCATGATTGGACCACCTGCCGACCTGTCCGAAAACACCCGGCACCCCGGGATTTCTCACCGAGTGAACCTGCTCTTTGGAGGTGGAAGATCCACAGAGGCGCGGGAGCGGAGGAGGTGTGACTGGTGTGACGTGGAAGATCCCTTTTTGGACATGTGAAGTATATACCCCGCTGCCGGCGTGGGGAAGATACTGCCGCAGCGGAAGATACCGCACTGCCTGAAAAAGACCGTTCTTTTTTGGGATCCTTCGAGAAAGGGAGCTCTCTGTGCTCCCCCATTTTGTCACATTTCTTGCACACCATTTGGATGATGCGGTGTTTCAGGTGTCCCGGTGTGATAGCTTCGAGCAATTTCGACCGAAGGTTGAGGGAGCGATGGGGTGTACGAACGCGTCTTGAGGAGTTCGGTCACCAACTTTTGCTCAGCCTCGAGTTGCCGATCCACTGCCCTGTAGCTTAATAGGGCAGGCAAGAACGGGAGATTAAATTAGAGATTCTACGGAGTTGCTGTAGAACATGATGTCGATCTGTAGGTGGATGAACAGGATTCTTTATTAGTTGCTGAGTTGCGAAAGTGCGAACCACTTCTGTACATGATTTCATGTACGCCTCAAACAGTTTTCTTGGGTTGTTCTTGAGACGTCAGCCTTGTTCCTACGCCTTGTTCCTACCGCTTCTGTGTTTGACTCCGCGCACTGGCAGGTCCTTGGCTCGACGGAAGGTGCGCTTTTGCGCCTCCTTCCCCAACGTCAGCCAGGCGATGCCTCCACGTGGACTCAAAACGGACGATGAACTCCGCCGGGGGAGGGTGCCGTTGGTGCCGTTTTCTCTGATTTCAGCTTGAGCGGTGCTGAAAATGGTCGTAGATGTTCCTCTACTCGACTCAGGAAATGTTTTTGCTACTGTTTTTTGAGAGATTTGAAGATGGAAGAAGGCGGCGTAATCCAATGGTGTCCACCTTCTTTTGTTCAAATTTGCATTCGCATCCATTTCTTTGTAATTCTTCTGTTGCCTCTCTGTGGAAGTCTACAGCTTCTGAACCCTGGGTCCCCTTACTAATTACATTGATGTCTTTTTCAGACCTTTTTCTGGTCTCTGGATTCGATGTAGTCAGGTTGCACATATGTTCGCGTGTGACACTGACCGTGGTTCTAGGCCGCTCAACTAAGTAATGAACATCTGATGAACAGGTCACATGGAATAATTGTATGGAGAAGCGGTTGACGTTCCTGAACAGGTCTTGGAGGAACTGGACCATAAAGCAGTGGATGTTCCACTAGTAGCAAGAAGCTACTAGGGTGGAGGCCATCGCTATTAGGTTGAAGGCCATTTCTACCAATAACAAGGACGCTACTAGTATATAGCTCCTAGCATTTGCTACTAGCCCCCGCCTCGTTCCACGCAATGCCACACCTTCGCCACGCAGTGCCGCCGTGGGGCCTCGTGTGAGTTCGCGCACTCCAGAGAGGACGACCGCACAACCGGGGGAAACGTTCGCGCCAGGAGGTTCGGAAACGGGGCGTTTTAAACCGGGCAGGTCAACGAGAGGACGACCGCTCCACTCGGAAATGTAGAGATGCACCATGCACCTGTGGCGTACAGCCTATGGCCAATGTCTTGTTGGCAAGGAACACAGTACGGTGTGAACACTGGAATGTTAGCAAGCAGGATCCGTTGCCTCCAGAGCCCAAGGTCACCTACTCAAGTGGAACACAACTTCTATTTTCGGAAGGGGCCTTGAAACCTGTAGTGGTGAAGCTTCTACAGTTCAGAGTCAGTCATGTTCGAAAAGCTCCCGCACAAAGGCTGTTGCGAACCATTTCTTGGAGTTCATCCTGACAGCGCAATCTTGTTGCGTTCCGTAACGATCAAGAGAGCTTAGCAGAATGAGGAAGTGATTGGAACGATTACTTGGTGTTGCTGCCAGCGCTTCGGCAGGGTCATTCCCTACCCTACCAGGCTTAGAAGGCGTGGGGGTTCAAGGCAGGTGGAAGGTTCAGAAGCTTCAGGCAGCTTCAGAAGGTTTAGAAGGTTCAGGTCCCGCAACTTGTCAGGAGGCACAGACCGAACTGCTGTCTGAGGCACAGGAACAACAGGTGGGAGATCCGGGAGGTCTTCTTTTGGGGAGTGCTTTGAGGCCTCGACAGTCAAGTACAACTTGTCCATATGAAGGAACATCGCAGTAAGAAGCAGGGCCACCCCTTTGCAAAAGCAGTCATGTTCAGTCAAATCACCGTTTTTTCCGAACAGGTTGTATGGTATTCGGATCATACGTTGAGGGTCACTGGTCGTTGTGGGTGGTTGGGACCGGCTGAAACGGTTGGCGTTTGTTATGTTTGTTGCCGATGGGAGGCTCCAGAAGAGCTCACGGAGGACTTCTTCATGTGCCCAAGATACCGGAGCATTGTTTCTTTTCTTTTCCCGAAGAGACTTCGACACCGACTTCATGTCATGAGGGGGGTGAATCGTTGTTGGATGAACGACACCACGATGATTTGTCACCAAGATTGTCACCAATGTGGAAAGTGACTGCTGGTACAGGGTGGTGTGTTGTGATGCATGTCGGTACATACCGAAGCTTGATCAAGCCGCGATCGCAAAAGCAGAGCTTTCGCTGGCAGCGCCGTTTGTTTTGAGCCCATACCACTCCGCATTGGTAGCGGAGCCCTCGAACAGCGAGGGCGGCCCTGACACCTGGGCCTTAGGATCGGATGGCCGACACGGCGCCGGAGGCCATCCCGGTTCCTACATGGGAGGGGGCGGAGTCCCCCGGTGGCGGAGCCACCCCACCGCCGGAGGCGGGAGTGAGAGGCAGCGCCTCCACCCCTGGCCGAGCCAGGGAGCGTGGCAGGGCCACGGAGGAGCAAGACCGAGGTCGTTCTCGGCATCGTGGTCGAGGACAAGGCCGTGGACGTGACAACCCACGAGCTCGAGCACCACACGACAAAGGGAAGAGCAAGGGCTCCAAAGGCGGTGGCAAGAAAGGGATGAGTGTTGGGAAAGGTCATACGACCTATGCCACGGATGCAACCCCTGGCCAAGGAGATACAGATGGCCCGACGAACACCTTCCGAGCTGGATGGTCACAACAGTTCCCTGGTTGGTACAGGTCTCCATCCACTGGCCATTGGATGTTTTGGACTGGCGCCCAATGGCTTTCCTACGAACCAACGGCATTCATGGATGGCTCATAGTATCTGCCTCGACAAGGCCATGAGCAGACACCGCCAGCTATGCCCTCATCACCTCAAGCATCACCTCAGGCTTCGACCATGGAACACCCCAAGATAGAGAAGAAGGACAAGACGAAGAAGGAGCGTCCAGAGAAGTCCAAGGAGAAGAAGGAAGCCAAAGGTGACAAGTCAGCTGACCGCAAGAAGGATAAGAAAGAGAAGAAGGAGACAAGTCGGTCAGCCGAGAAAGGAGAAGAAGGAAGCAAGGACGAAGAGCTCGCCAGCCCGTGGCGACAAGAAAGAGAAGAAAGAGAGAAGAAGGATGAGGATGAAGAGGCGCGACCTAGTGGCGTCGCCAAGGATGAACCTTCGAAGCCAGCTGCAAAGAAGTCCAAGCCGGCTCCTCCCGGTCCCGATCCTCCAGATGAAGATGAAGATGAGTATGAAGAGTACTCGGACTACACCTATGAGGAGGGGGAAGAGAGCGAGGAGGAGGAGAACTTCGAGGTCGATCCACCAGTGGAACCGCCACGACAGCCCAGGCGGAATCCCCGAGATCCGCGGCAGCGTCCGCCTGATCCGCCACCTTCGGATCCTCCTTCAGGCAGAGCCTCAGGCAGAGCCTCGTCCAACAGGACTTCATCTCCGGCCAGCTCGAATCGCACGAGTTCGGCGGCCTCTACGGCAGGCACAAGTGAGCTACGCGCCATGCTTTCTCAGCAGGCCCGCAAGCAGCAGGATCGTTCCAAACCGTCCCTGAGCCAAGTTCGTCTCGAGATGTTCAAAGGTTCAAGAACCCACTACAAAGAGTGGAAGCGAACGATTGAGGCTCAGAGAGCATTATACAGGTTGGACGATGCTGAACTCTCCATGCTCATCTACCTCAGTTGCCAGGGTGAGCCACGGCAAATCTTGAACCAACTCCAAATCGAGGAGATGAGAGAGCCTGGTGGACTCAACAGAGTGCTTAGATTGCTGGAGGAGTCGTATGGGGCAAGGTCTGATGAACGATTCGAAGAAAAGCAAGAGGCTTATTTGACGGGCTCCCTTTTTTTTTGACCCGCGCACCCTTTTTTTTCTGACCCACCCCTTTTTTTCTGACCCACAACCCTTCTTTTCTGACCCACAACCCTTCTTTTCTGACCCACGACCCTTCTTTTCTGACCCACGACCCTTCTTTTCTGACCCACAACCCTTCTTTGCTGACCCACAACCCTTCTTTTCTGACCCACAACCCTTCTTTTTTGACTCCCCAGCATTCCGTGACAATCCTTTTTTTCTGACCCACAAACCTTTTTTTCTGACCCCCGCAACCCTTCTTTTCTGACCCCCGCATCCTTCTTTTCTGACCCGCAACACGTCTTTTCTGACCCACAACTCTTCTTTTCTAACCCACAAACCTTTTTTTCTGACCCCCGCAACCCTTCTTTTCTGACCCCCGCGCCCTTCTTTTCTGACCCACAACCCCTTTTTTCTGACCCACAAACCTTCTTTTCTGACCCACGATCCTTCTTTTCTAACCCACAACTCTTCTTTTCTTCACAGCCCGTGTTGCGTGACCTCATACACCCCGGGTACGCTCTACCGAGAGGAAGCAAATTCTTTCTCCTTCTGCGTCCCTCTCTTCTTCATCTGAATGACGGTGCTGTCCGTGTGATCCAATACTTTCACAAGCCCTTTTTTTCTGACCCCCGCAACCCTTCTTTTCTCTGACCCACAACCTTTCTTTTCTGACCCACAATCCTTCTTTCCGGACCCTTTTCTTCTGACCCCCGCACTCTTCTTTTCTGACCCACCACCCTTCTTTTCTGACCCACAACCCTTCTTTTCTGACCCACAACCCTT